AAACAAAACAAAAAAGCCACCCCCCCCCTCCAGCCCCCCGACAAAAAAACATGTACATAAGCAATCACTGCCTTTGCTCCCCAGAAAAAAAGTAGTAGTAGTGAACTCAAAGACAAATGAATGGTGGACGCCAACGAGACAGTCGTTAAAACTACTTAGAAGCCATTTGCTTGTGCTTTTGCCCTTTAATGTGACGGACAAATTCGTGCACATACGACGTTATTTTTAGGCATCTTTAAGCATAAATAAATAAACAAATGAATAAAAGATGCATTAGAACGAATTAGTTAATCAAATATGATCCCCATATTAACGTCACATGAAGCACTAAATACATCCAATTGTACAGGAACGTTTTTTTACAATTGTTGTAATTCTCCTTTGCGTGCCTGTTGTTCGTTACTTTCGTTTTCAATTAAATCTGACTGGAAGCATGACGCATTCAAGTGTGCAACGAAAAAAAGAAAAATGCAAACAAAAACAGTAAACGCGCACCTCTGTCACCCATCGAACGATGATGATGATGATGAGGCTGATGATGATGATGATGATTGTCATAACATTACATTTAATAATTCTTCTTTTAATATGGATCGTCTCATTGGCTGGATGAATGTTTAAACGGATAAAATCATGACACTTTTTTCGCGTGTATTATTAATTATTCTGTGTAAAGGCCATCGCGATGAATTCTTCCACGTACGTGTGTGTGCGTGTGTGTGCGTGCGCGTTTATGCGTAAGCGTGCGTGTGCAAGAGTGCGCGCGTGTGCCCTCAGCGAATGCAAACGCTATACATAAATCAGAGATGCAACGCAACGGTGGGCCATGTTCATTCACAAACAAGGAGGCTCCGTCGTCATCATCATTAGCTTATTCAGCCTCGCTTTAATTCTGCTTTTGCTCAATTTGCCGCGAGATTTCCGTCTGCTTTATCGCCGATGGAACACGAATGCGGCAAAAAAAAAACGTTTTAATAGCAGAAACAATATCGTGGCCTACACCACAAAATGCGCATGAATATAAAGAGGTCTCAATTTCTTAAGACAATTTATCTTTCTGCAGTTTTCTGAACTGTATCCTGAGAATTGTTACAGTAATACAGTAAAGTAATATACCACACACACACACACACACACACACACACACACACACACACACACACACACGTATTAAAGTATCATTTAACATTGTTAAATGATTCTTTAATATTATAGTTGCATTATCCGGGATTGGGACTGTCGTGGATCACAGCCACAACACTAAAAATGTTCTAATGAAAACAATGAGCATTGTCATGTTGGCAAAGATTTTCATAACACTGCAAAAATGTTTATTCGTGTATCTGGGTTTGATTCAAAGAAGCCAATTTCCCCTTTTTTCTGATGACTTTTAACATTTAACATGTCCTGCTTTAGATCTTCTAATAGACATCCATGCAAGTATTTGCCGTTATTTATTTTCTTTCTGTTTGTGACACGCATATATAGCTGGTGCGTGAAAGCGCGCCAAGGCCACCCACGGCGACGTGAATGACATACATAATTGATCCTACCAGTCCACGCGTTTTTTTTAAAGCTCAATATTTTATTCTTCACGCTAGTTTGAACGCCTACGTGGAGTCGCTCCTCATCCCCAGGAAGTGCAAAATAGACAAAGACTTGAAGAAACATTTCCCCTCGTGGCGTTTAATTATTCAGACGCGCAGAATTCAATGTGTGTGTGTGTGTGTGTGTGTGTGTGTGTGTGTGTGTGTGCGCGCGCGCGCGTGTATGTCTGTGTGTGTGTGTGTATGTGTTTCAACAAAATACGTGCTCCGAACTCGGCATGATGAATGAACCGCAATCTTTTCAAGCTCTTGCAATAAATGATGAAACGCTTTTCTACAAACGATAGATATTATTAAATAAAAGGAGGGGCACAGAAAAAAAATTGGAGCTCGGTCCACTTCGAAAATGTAAGGCAACTAATTGCATCAAATCATCAAGTAGTCACACGAAAAAATACTCCATGCTGAGATCAAGTTTTAAAATGTGTTGAATGCTAATTTGAAAGTATATTCTACTTGAGTTTATTATTTTACTGGTCAATCTTTGCGTCCTTGAAGTTACTTAAATAATCGAGTTTTTAAGACACTTTTAAGAACAGGCCGCTACTGACTTAAAAATATATATCTACACAACTCATTTTAAATTGGATTTACTTTCAATTTACGTTTGGCAAAATTTTTCATGTACAGAAACGAGTTACTAATAAAAGCAAGACATAGTCCATTTTGTCGCGGTTTTAATTAATCTATCCATCCATTCATCCATCCATTTTCTAATCGGATTATCCTCACAAGGTTCGCGGGCGTGCTGGAGCCTGTATCCCAGCTGTCTTCGGGCTGTGAGGTTGACTTGCAAACTCATGGTTTTAAATTGTTAGAAATTGATAGAATTCCCCTGAATTGTTAGACCTAAAGAAATCACTACCCTTGCACACTGGAAAAACAAATCAAAGTTATAAAATGGTTCCCATAAAGAGTTGCACGACAGAAAAACATACAAATCCCATCATGCAACGGGCATTGTGGCCCCTCCCACTTCATGGATGAGCGAATACTATAAATCTCCTATTTAGAGTTTGGCTGTACTTCTCATAAGATAAGATAAGATAAGAAAACCTTTATTAGTCTCGCAATGGAGAAATTCCCAATTCACAGCAGCAAAGTTATGAATGGAAGAAGTAGAACAACAAAATATAGGAGCTGCTGGAAAGGCAGCCACTCACGCGGCGCCATCTTGAAGTCAAAATAACAAAAATAACACAACACAACACATGACTCCCTGAAATTAGTTACATCGTGCTTTTTAAGAAGTCTATGCCCGATTTGTAGTGTTTTGAAGAAAGGAAAAATAATTGTAAATTAGATTTGTTTGTTCAACACACCAAAATAATCTCTTCATTGTTGACATTACAATTTAGTATTATGTAACCATTACAAATGCCGAAGATGACTTTTTTCAGTGTGGAAACAGAGTTAAGTAACGTAGGCTATTTTTTTTTCTGTTTATGTGCATTTATAATAAAAGCAAGCACACGTGAGCAGAGTAAAAATAATTTGTTAGGCAGCATCGCACTACAGACGCGGCAAGTAAAAGACGGCAAAAAAATGTTTTGTGAAGTCGATTTTGCCAGCGCGTTTAAATTCGTGAAATGTTTACTAATTTGCATTAGCTGAAGGCCAACGGTGAGCAACTTGATGTTCACAGGTTTTGACTGGCACTCAGAGGAGGAACAACTCTTATCCCTCCCGCCCCCCACTCGTACTCTTTAGCAAAGTTTCATGAAGGCTGTTCACACAACGACGAAACCGCCTCGGTGGCGGTTATAGTAAATGACGCAGAGAGTGTTTAGCGACAATAGCTGTCAGTGTAGGAGCATGGACACTATTTGAATGCGGTTCTGATCTACTCCATCATTCTGACCATTTCATTTGATGACTTTTAGGCTCTGCAGACTAAAATTCATTGCCAGTGGAAATAATACTTTTAAGGACAGAGGAAAACAACTTCCCAACAGTGGAACACACACAATTTAGAACAAAAGATACAAACTTTAGAAAAGTGTTGGAAACTAGAGCAGGGCGAAAGGGAACTTTAAAACTCGGGGGGCGCGGGGGTGGGGCAGAGAGTAAAAAAATGAACTTCAGAACAGTGCGCAACCACAATGGACAATTTAAGGGAAAAAAATGAAGATCAAGGTGAAACACTTCAGAACAAGGTGGGATATAACGTTGAATTCGGGGTGGGGGGGCGCTTCGGTGGTAAAATAAACAAGGTAATACGTCAGACTTGAGTAAATTCAATTCAAATAAATGTAAATTATTACATGGCAATTTGCATCATTGTGATTAATTAACTAATATAAGAAATGCACATCATTTTGGTGAAAACTTCAAGGAAAAATAGCGTTGTGTAGTTTTGCCTTCATCGCTATACAGTACCAGTACCATCATCATCATCGTCATCATCATCGTCATCACCATCTTTCACGTGTATTTGTGTGGTGTGGAGGGTGTGGAATCTCGAATTCAAAATGTCATTTCCATTTCCTGCGCTTTCAGAATAAGAGCACAGGCTTCCTGTACAGTGATACCTGTCCATCAAATATGAGATTACTGTACTGAGTAGTGGGAGGAGGAGTTGTTGAGCTGGCCAATTAGCAGGCGATTTTTTTAACAGTGGATTTCAACTTGTTGATGACATAATGAAAGAATTTACTTCTAATAGCTGACTAATATTATTATTATTATTATTATTATTATTATTATTATGCATAATCACTTTGCGTTTTGCGTGACCAGCTGAATGTAATAAATGTTCAAATAGAAGTTATGTGCAGTGATATATATGCTTGAGACAGAAAACGTTTGAAAATTTGGGGAAAAAATATTTGTTAAAATTACGAGGAAAAAATAATTTCCCATCATTGGGGAGGGCAAAGAACAACGGGTCGAAAGGAAACAATTTAAAAGAGTGGGGAAAGTCATGAAAATAAAGACCTACTGAAGAGTGGAAAACACGAACAACAGTGAGTGAGAGTGAGCACGTATACAGGAGTGTTTAAAAAGTCTTTAACAGTGCAAACAACTCTGGAAAAATGAGGGAAAAAAACTCCGAAAGCAACGAGGAAAACAGAAGAATGAGCAGTGCAAAAAACTGACAAGTGAAATAGTAATTAGGACAGTGAAAACAAGAGCGTGCGGAAAAGTTTAGAAAAGTTACAAAAAGAAAGGAAAAACTGGGGGAAAGAACTTGACAAAAATGGGGAAATCAAATACAGAAAATTATTACCACTAATTTCAAAACAGTGAGAAGAAGACCGTAAAATTGGCGGACCAATCGAAAAATATAGCTACAAGTACTACTCTATACCGGCTATAAATAATGTAAATTACGTGCAGAAATGTATGTGCAGAATGTGTTTTTGTGACACGGAAAAAAAAGAGAGAAAGAAATGAGATCCGGCCCACTCGCGTACTTTAATGGATGGCATTAGAAGCGACGCCCCCTCCATATCTCCCTCCCCTCCATCCTTCCTCCCTCTTTGTGTCTCTCCTCCCTCCCTCCTTCCTTCAGTCACTCAGGGAGTGAGTGGCGCGCATGCAGGCACTCACTGAAAGTGACTCTGATTACAAAACGTATCCAAAGCGTTTCCACGCTCCGCTTCGCCTCCTCGCTCACTCTCACGGACCGTGCCGAGCTCCGTTGCGCAACTCTGAACTCTTCCGAAAAACAAAAAAAAAACAAAAACAAAAACCGTCTAGAAGAAAGTCGTTTGGTTCTGGTTCGAGAAGAAGAAAAGACGCGCATCCTCACCTGCACTTGCAACTTTTTGGATCCCCGGTCCCGC